GACGTTGGTGTGACAAAAAGCAAAAATATAAATTTCTAATTACTCCCATCTTATCTTCACTGAACTTAATTCTCCAAGGACCTTGTTGAGACTTTGAAAAGCTGATTCAGAAGAAAAACAGAAATCAAAACCCAACATGCCCTTCAGCTAACAAAACTAAGGAGTTCACTTCTCAACTGGATGCAGGTTATGTTTCTCCACTTGACTGGATGTATATTGACAACATCATGATGACATGAGCTGTACGAAACCTTTCCTCTTCATTTGTAGTAATCCAGTTCAGGAACTTGAAAGTCTATAAAACCTCATCTCTGATGAGCTAGTAATTTTATCCCCTGCTGTAAGAAGGGGAGGGGAGAAGGTGATGGGAAGGGTGTAAGGCATGGAGAAGGCAAAGAATCAGACTAGGAGTGATGAATGCAAATTGGTTTAGGTCTGGAAATTCCTGGATGGGGAGGAAAGGGAGTGATGGTTATCCTAGTCTGTAATAGCAGATTACAGTAGTAGGGCAGAAGTGACCTTGCCTTGGTGGTATAGTATCACCTGCAGTGTTAGCACAGTTCTGAGGGATTGGGAATGTAATTTTGGAGAGAAGGCAGGAATCTTCATGCATTAACTTTGTCGGTGCTTTGAAGTTATAAATCTGATTATTTGGCAATCTTTAACCTTGATGGGCAACCAGTTTTCCTCAATTTAATGAACAGGTAAGAGGTAGTCTGGTTTAGGAAAGTTGTCTTAATGAGTGATGAACAGGGTTTTGTCCCATGGCATTTGCTTCAGTAGTTAGTGAAGGGCTTTAATGCAGTGATCATAGAGCAGTCTACATCAGCAGCCTTTGCCTTCTGGATAAAGAAATCTGTTTTAGATAAAGAAATCAAACTGCAGAAAATTTGCTGAGTAATCCGTTCATAGTCCCATTCGTTTGCGGCTCCTCAAAGAAACATGTGCTGTGGCAGCACGTTTTGGTGGGAACAGGTGTCTCCTGGGTCCTGTGGCAAGGTGAGTGTTGAAGGGTATTGCTTTCTACAGTGCTTACCAGGCCTGGTACGCTCGTTAGAAAACTCAGCCCTTTCCTTCATGTTGAATGGATTGGAGACCAGGAAAGTGTAACTACTTCCTCCTCTTTGAGTCTTTGACTTTGCATCCATGTATCTTGGAAGACAAAAATGGTGAGTTAGGGATAAGCATGAGCCTTAGGTTTTCATCTACCCTGCATTTTGAATGGGCACTGTCAGCCTTTCTCATCAGCATAGTTTGGAATTATTTTAGTTTGCGTTATCTTTAGACATGCGTTTTGTCTCTTGCACTTCATTCATGTCATCTGTCACTGTTCATTTCACTAAATGTTCCCTGGTTATAATCTGATATTTCCCCATTCCCTCCAAGCAGTTTTGCACTGGTATTTAATAGCCCACATCATAATGTGAAAAGGTTGTTACCTATTTAAGATGTTTACAGGGAAGTATATGGTATAGTGAGACTACCTGAAATATTCATCTGAGAAAAACTAATTCTTGAACATGAACATCAGTAGCGTTCCCCTGCCATATCAAATTTGAGCTTTGCAACTGTTCAAGTATTTCCAGTTTTAACTCCACCAGGGAATGGTGTTTAGAAATCAGCTTGGTTTTAAGATAGCTGAGCTGACTATTTGGCTAAGATTGCAATTTAGATATGTTTCCTTCTCCTAAGTCACAGGATGCAAGATATGGGTTACTGTGTAACTAGTTTATGACATCCCTGATATTAACACCTCTTGAAACACTGTGCAGCTGCAGCAGATGGTCAGGATGAGAGCTGAAGGAGATGGATCAAAGTGGAAGGCATCACAGTAGGCAGAAACTGTGCTTGTGCTAGGATGAGATACTAGAGTATAAATATAAGTTCAGCCTAGCATTAGAATAACTTTTGCTGATTTCTTTTTTCCAGTGTGTCCAATCAGCATGTACACTGTCTAAAGAACATGAAGCAATAACCTGACTTAAAGTATGTATGAGTATTTTAAGAAGCTAGTAGAGATATTACCAAAATAATATTTGCACATTAATACTTAGCATATTCATGTTTCTTCCAGTAAATCCATGAGCTAAAAAGTATTATTCCCATTTCACAGTCAGTAGGAGAAAGGGAAGAAGAAATTACTTGCCATATGTTGGGCTATGGAATGCTGGTGGAATTTGACTGAGATGCTAGAACCTGCAGTGTTAGGTTTGGTCCTGTAGTAATGCTGTTAAATTCTGTGAAAGCCAACAGGAGAAATTAGTTTTCTGTCATAATACGTAATTCCATAACCACTGGGATCTAGAGCCATCCGTGCTTTGACTCACTAGTTGAAATCTGCCCCATGTTATACGGTCCACGGAGATACCCCATGGCCAGCAGTGGTTTGGATGAGACAAGAGGATGGGATTCTGTTGATCTGAAGTTTATGTTTTGCTATGCAGCACAGGAACCCCAGCCATGACTTCCAAAATTGACTTTTTTAATTGGATTTAATAAAAAATGAGTAAGTGGAGAATATGTGAGCTCCCGTTCCTACCAGGAGAATGCTTTATTCTGAGAGATGTGAGGCATATTGACGAGGTTATGTGGTGAATCCTCTATTCCTTTTTCACAAATTTACTCCATAAGATTTCAGGAGTTACATGAAAGCCTCACAGGCTCTCCTTGCCTTCTCTTAGTTTCTCTCTTCATCTTGCAGTATGAAATAGCCGTGTCGTGGTATGCACCAAATGGTCTTAGGCATTAATCAGTTCAGAGGCCAGGCAGGCTCATGGAAGGACTTGCTCTCTCCTTAACTACCAGCTCGGTAATTGCCAGCTGATAACTGTGTGAGATGTCACTGGTGTTTGTAAAGAGCTGGCTAATACTGAGGTATTTTTTCAGTCAGTGGGTGGCAGGGTTGATAGGATTAATGATGCTGCATTTTATGTAGCGCCTCTGTCTCAGTTTGAAAGACAGGTATTTTGCTAAGGAAGGCGAGAACCCCTTTCCTGAGATGCAGAGTGCAACCCCCTCCCTTCTAATTATTATAGTTTCAAATCAGAGGCTTTCAGGCAGAAGATATGGGGATAGGAATAACAGTTCTTTACTGATACCTAACAAGGCAAACAGCAGAAACAACAACAGCTATAAAAATTGACAACAAAACAGAACAGTATAGCTCAGTTCCAGTC